TCACTCAATGTGCAACAAATAACATCATGTAAAATGCATAACATACAACATCATAAACAACTGGGCACAAATCCAAGAACATCCACATAAGGATTCCGTTCAAGGACCCCATCATATAACTCTCGGGAAGCTTCCTGGTGCCTCTCCCATGGATGAGACGACCACATGGCAAAACCCAACTGGAACTCCTCATGAGCCCTATCCAGCGGAAGTCCCACGTTTGGATCATCCTGGTACTGCTCCCAGAGTCGGCCCCACGGCAAAACTCGACCGGAATCCCCAAAGGATATCTCTAGCGGAAGTCCAAACCACACACATCTACTAGCCAGAAATCAAACAATTCACACACAACATGCTCCAAGCATGTCACACAATCAAGCAATAATGCATGAATATACATATTCACACAATGTCCAGAGGCACAAAATCCAACCACAACCTTCCACTAGGTGTGGTGGAGCACACAAGGGATTAAAGCCCAAGTTCTAAAGGTTTACCTCTTATCCAAAGCAAAGCTCCACAACGTATGCTCCAAGTTTAATCCACCTCTATTGTTTCCGTGAGAGGCAACCTATATGATCAAATACAATGACCATCAACACATACATTATCACAAATTCACATACACAACAATAATACCCCCACCTAATTTCATAGGCCTAATGGTTATCTTCCATTCATTCCAACTAGCTGAAGCGTTTAAATCATCAACCTAACTCATCATTTATTCACCAATGCCTCAACCATTGATGAAACCACATTTTCCACATCATTTTTCTCTAAATTTACTCTATGGTTCGAATTCCCCAATCAAGCATACACTAAGACTTTCAATTCAATTTAACACTCAAACACATCTGTTAGTCCTATAATTAATTCATACCAATGGTCCATAATTCAATTATGCAATCCCAGATCCATGTTATTTCACAAAATCATCAATATCAACTCCAATTTTCACTAAGTTATAATTTTCTAAATCACAATAATTTTTATTGCATCAATTTTCATCATTTATCATTCTAAGCATTTAATTTCAAAGGAGCAACATCATTAAAAGCTCCTAACCACATCAACCAATCAACACATAATCAAACACTCATCCATTTTATGATCTCAATAAAAACTCCATGAGAGTGTGAAAACTTACCACCAATCAACTCCTAGGCAACCCAAGAACAAGTTTCAACACTTGAACGGTCCAAAACCGCCACCAACCACCACAAAAAAGCCCAAAACCGCCACCCACAATAGGAAAATGATCTTCTTGCACATTCAATTTTGTGGCTCACTCAAGGAAGGAAAGATGTTCACAAGGTGATTTGGAACAACTTTGATGTTTTACACTTTTGGATTTGAGTAGGTTTTGGATGTGTTTTGGTGGTTTGAAGTTTTTGAAGCAAGGCTTCCACTTCTCCAATGGAGGCCGCGTGAGATGAAGAGGAAAGGAGGAGAGAGAAATTGCTTTTGAGTGTGTAATTGGCCACTTGTCCACTTAAATCACTTAAGTGGGTCCCACATGCGAATTAACTTTATTAAAGCACCTAATTTAAATCATAAATTCATAGCCTACGTATTTTTCTCGTTCACGACATGTTTTTACTTCATAAAAATACTGATATTATTTTTGCGCTTATCGGTACAATTATACCGCAGTATTTTACACTGGTAAAATCACTATTCATCAAATTTTCCGAAACTTGCCTGCCCACTCGATTTTTTGTCCTGAATCCATTTTCGGCATTATTTTTATCGTTTCAGGTCTTATACTCAATTTTTCATGCCTAAGGTTACGTGTTTGGTAAATTACCATTTTGCCCTTCTTATGCAGTTTGACCCCTAATTCAGAATTTTCACTAATCCTTCCCCTTAGTCCATATTTTCATATATAATTATGCATTTAGGAAATCCGAGGTGTTATACAAAGTGTCTAATTTGTCAAAAAGTAAAAATTGAACATCAAAATTCTTCAAGATTACTTCAACCATTAGACATACCATAATAGAAGTGGGAAAGTGTAGCCACAAATTTTATGATGTGTTTGCCAAGAACCCAAGAGGGTTATAAAGAAATTTGAGTTATTATTAATTGGTAAATCAAATATGCTCATTTTCTACCAATTAGAGCTCAATATTTTATTGTGAGGTTAGCACAATTGTATATAAAAGAAATTGTTAAGCTTCATAGGGTACCTCTAAGTATTATGTCAGATAGAGATCCTAATTTGACTTCTAGATCTCAAGGTTATAATGTCATATAAATCAAAATTATTTCACTTTAACATACTTACAAAATCTATAAATAAGCTTCCATCATTTATCACATCATCAAACCATTTCTTACATTATTTTTCCCTTTTACGGCCGAGTGGCACTTACAAAGGGAACATAAGCTTTTCAAACTTCTTTTGATAAATACAAGTTCCATTTAACTTCATCATACTCAAGAGAAATCAAATATAACTTAACTCATCAAAACAATGATTCCAAGCCTATTTAACTTGTGCTGAACGAATAGGCCTTTTAGGAAATCCCATGAGTTCTCTTCAATTTTCAACTTGTTTTCCATCACTAAAACATCACTGAAGCTAAACCATACATACTCACTTACATCAAACAATACTCTTCATGACTTTCCAATGACAGTTGAATCATACTCATAGGAATTAGGTCATCTTTTCAAAGTCTTCAACATCTTTTTTTGATAGTTTTTAACATATCATAACATAAACCTCATCAGACTCCATCAAACATGACCATAAAAAACTCCAAGAAGTTTCATAAACCCTTGGTTTACCATGTTTTAAGGCTAATTTATACAAGAATTACATAGTAGATTGCATGGAAATTAAGGTTTTACAGTATAAAATCATAAAGAATGGATTCCTAGCTAACATGTGGTAATCTTGCTTACTTTAAAGGTATTTTGACATAAAAGAATGCTAATGGAGCAAAGAATGCAAGAAGATGATTGAATACTGAAGAAAGCCTCAAAGAAAGCAAGTTACAAGCAACTCACAGATTGATGGAGAGCGTTTTAGCGCCCAACAGCGCGCTAAAACGCCCTAAAGCAGTAAAATAGCCAAAATCCACTGAAGGAGAGCGTTTTAGCGCCCAACCAGGCACTAAAACTCCCTGACAGCACAAAGTTCCTTTCGAAGAGAGCGTTTTAGTGCCCATATGAGTGTTAAAACTCTCTAAGGCAGACAACATTATACTGTGAGAGCGTTTTAGTGCTCTAATGAGCGCTAAAATGCTCTGACGCGTAAAAATTCAGGCCCAATTATTATCAATATCCAAATTAAGATTTGAATGAAGATTTGAAGGAGATTTGAATGGAAATTAAAAGATATGTTTCTCCTCTAAAAATAAAGGGCCTTGGGACCAATTAAAAAGAATTCAACAACGGAGAGGCGTCTGAAGCAACACAAGGACGAATCCTGTTGCGGAGCGTTGGAACACTGAGGAACCAAGTCAACATCACACCAATGGAGGCTTGGGGTTCTCTTTTCTTTATTATTGCTTTTAAATTCAGTATGCTAGGCAATATTTTTATGTAGTTAGGGGTAGATGAGATCCAATTGAATCTTATGCTTTGAATTAAATTATCTCTGAATTCTTTTCTTTTTATATTTGAATAAATTTATCTGTCTTTAATGTTCTCTATGAGTTTTCTCTTTATAGATTAATTTAGGGGAATTGTATGATAATAGAGATGTTGGTGCATGAACCCTGAGTTGGTAAATTTATCAGAATCCTTGTGATCTAGGGATATATATAGGGTAATTGTGCAATTTTTAAATTCTTGATCTTAATGCATGTTTTCTTGGCGAATAACCGGGGAACTAGGGTTCTTCTGAGATCACATAGATTTAGAGTAACAAGGAATTGAGCCCTAATTAACTTAAAAAGAATTGATTGGCAATATTTTAAGAACAAATTCTTGGCAGTTTAATTCATAGCATATAGAGGAGATTGGGGGAAGTCGAAACCCTAACTATGCTTGTTTTTAAATTCTTAATCATCATCATCTTTTCCATTGTTCTTTTTAATTCTAAATTCTAAATTGCATGTTCTTAGTTGTTTTCAAATTCAATTCTCTCAAATCCAAATATTGATTGTCCAACTAAATCGTTGTTAGTGAACTAGTGCTTGAAAACCCAATCCTCGTGGAAACGATCTCGTACTCAGTACACTTTATTACTATTACGACCGGTGCACTTGCCGAAGTCGCAACAAGTTTTTGGCGCCGTTGTCGGGTATTGGATCCTTCAACATTAAAAGTAATTAAAAACTTTTTAGATTGGACGTTTTAATTTTTCTACAATTAAATTATGCATTCATAATTCTGCATTAATTTTCTGCATATTTTTTTTATGTCATTAGTTTTCTGCATTCTTTTTCTGGTTTTATTTTCTGTTTTATCTTTCTGCAATTTTTATTTTATGCACATCTTTTAAATCTTGGTTTATGCGAGGTACTGTTAACCCACGAATCTTGCATTGTGATCCTGAGATAGAAAAGACAGAAAGAAAAATCAGAAAAAGCACAAAAGAAAGAAAAGCGGAAGAAGCATCAAGCTCTACGGAACCAAAGGAAGAAACTATGGCTGACAACAATGCACTTTAGAATCCCCCAAGCACTTCGGGAGATTACATGATGCCAGCCCGAGTTTCGTAGACGACAAGCATTGTTAGACCAACCGTGGATGCTAACAACTTTGAGCTCAAGCCAACACTGTTACAACTGATTCAAAAATATCAGTTCACTAGAGAAAGCACAGAAGACCCCTACAGTCATCTTGAAAATTTTCTACTTTATTGTGACACATTGAAGATGAATGGAGTCTCACTTGATGCCATTTTGTTGAGACTCTTCCCATGCTCACTGAAGGAAGAAGCAAGAGGGTGGCTACGGTCGCTACCTCAAGGAAGCATCACCAACTAGGATGACTTGGCGACCAAGTTCTTGGCCAGATTCTTCTCAGCCTCAAGGATGGCAAGGCTCAAAGCAGAGATCACCTCTTTTGAACAAAAAGAAAGTGAATCCTTGTACGAAGCATGATAAAGATTAAAAATAATGCTTAGGAAGTGTCCACAACATGACTTTGAAGCTTGGGAGAAAGGACGAATTTTCTTCCAAGGAAAGACGCCTAGTACAAGAACCTTGGTGAATGCTGCATCAGGGGGATCACTGAAAATAAAAACTCCAGAGGAAGAACTGGAATTGTTGGAATCTTTAGCTTCTCAGGAGTTCGATAATGCTCCAGTGCCAGGCAGGAGAGCAGGGATCTTGAAGCTTTATGGCTATGATTCAATATTGGCCCAGATTGAACAAATATTGCAAATAAATAAGGAACAATAAGCATAATTAGATGTTCTTACAAAGCAATTTTCTAATTCTCAAGTTTCTTCTGTTAATAATTCTCAAATTACTTGTGGTATTTGTGCAGGTACTCATGCAACTGAAGCCTGTGAATTCATGAGAGCACCTGAAACTGCTGAAGTAAACGGACTCTGGTATGATGAGAAGAACCAGAATGATCCAGGGAGGAACCAGTATGGGAATGACTACAATCAAGGGTGGAAGAATCAGAATCAACATCCAGGGTTAAGTTACAAATCCAACCATCAGCTCAATCTTCCCTTTCCAGTGCAACCACATACCCCACAACAAAGTAACACTTCTGAGTGGGAGAAAGCTTTTGCACAGCTATGCAAGACCACTTCTGATTACATACAAGGTGCAAATGCTTTCAGAGAGGACACATCTTCCTTCATGCAAGAGACTAGATCAGCAATTCAAAACCAAGAAGCTTATATCCGAAATCTAGAAACTCAGATAGGCCAGTTGTCAAGGCAATTTACTGAGCGAGCTAAGGGTACCTTCCCGGGAGACACTGTCATTAATCCTAGAGAACACTGCAACGCAATTACCACAAGAAGTGGGACAGTGATTCATCCTATAAAGAAGCAACCTGAAGAAAAGAAGAGAAATATGGAGGCATCGGTTGAAGAAGAGACTAAAGAAAAGGCACATGATACTATTGAAGTTGAGAAGAGCAATCCTGGAAATAGTTGAAAAGAAACTATTTAAGTGGGAGAAGAAGAAAGCTTTAGAAAGGCAAGACAAGCCTTTGGATCTCTCCCCATATGCTCAAATCCCTTATCCTCAAAGATTAAAGAAAGAGATTCAGAAGCAGCAGTATTCAAAGTTTCTAGAAATATTCAGGAGGTTGCAGATCAACATCCCTTTTGCTGAAGCTTTAGAGAACATGCCCATCTATGCAAGGTTCATGAAGGATCTATTATCAAGGAAGCGTAAGTTGCAGGAATGTAAGACAGTAAATCTAATAGAGGAATGTAATGCTATCAGCCAAAATAAGTTACCTACTAAAGTCAAGGATCCAAGGAGCTTCAGCATTCCGTGCACTATAGGCAAAGTGGAAGTGGACAACGTTTTATGTGATCTTGGAGCTAGCCTCAATGTCATGCCACTCTCCATGATGAAGAAGCTGTGGATTACTGAAGTGAAGCCCACCAGAACAATAGTGCAACTGGCTGACCGCTCTTCAAAGCAAGCTTATGGCATCATTGAGGATATACTGGTAAAGGTAGACAAATTCATCATCTATGTTGATTTTTTCATCCTTGATATAGAGGAAGATGGCACAATTCCAATGATCTTCGAAAGACCCTTCTTGGCAACTTCAGGAGCACTGATTGATGTATTTAAGGGCGAGCTGATCTTACGGGTAGACAGAGAGCAAGCAATTTTCAAGTTCTTTGACAAAGAAGTCCCTTCATCTGTAGCTCAACCGAAAGATCAAGTCTACTATATTGGTGAAAAGAAAGGTGATGAAGAACACAATGACGAGTCATCTCATGAAAGTAAGCCAAAAGTTAAGATGGAGAAGCCTAGGAGCAAGGGAAAGCATATAAATACCAAATTCAAAGTTCTTGAGGCTACTATATCTCACTTATATGCACAAGAGCACTATGGGATGACACAATTTCTGAATGATGGAGCTTGGTCATCATCAAGCTCATGCTTTGAACCACCATTAAAGTAAATCAGGTACGTCAAGTGTAACACCCCGTGTATACCTGGTTTGTTATCATATCATCGGATTAAGCCACGCTTAAGTAAAAATGCGGAATAACTTTTTCTTTTCAATTATGACGTCATTAATATTACCAAGTTGATTACTTAATCTTTTTTCAAAATATTGCATGTATGTAAATTGCAATAAAGCTAACTACACTGAGTAACCTCAATATATAAATAAAGGTGAGTATCTAAATCACGGTACTACAACACGTAGTCCAGACCATAATCCTGATACAATTATATAACTCAATACTACAGTTAAACATAGTCAATCAATGTGGCATGGACAACCCCCATGCTCACCCAATAAGGCAAAAAAGCCCAACAGAGTCTCAAGTCAAATAACAGGATAATAAGAATAAATAAGCATCCAATCAAAGCAGTATAATCATCATGTATCAGTCAGCTAAGCTCCGGCCTCCTGCCGCCCGAGGTCTCAACCCCCGAGTCACTTGAACCTGAAATATGTGCCCCAAACGTGGGGTGAGATCTCTAAACAGAAATCTCAGTAAGGCAAGGAGTCCTCAAGGATTTCTCCACCCCAAGCTCACTTACATGTGCAATATAAGTTCTAAAAGCAATATACAATATCAGTTCCAAAATCAGTGCAATGCAACAGATAATCATGTCATGTGTGTCAAGATATTCTACTGGCCAGAGAAATGCAGAATTTACATACGTCTATTGCCTACATCAGTGCAGGACGCCACTTTCACCCACCCACAGAATCACCGTATTGTATGACGCCACATACTCAGGCTTACCGTTTCGATGGAACAACACATGCATATTATAAGGCCCTTGCACTTAACAGTTCAAAAGCATTTCAATCATCAAAACATGAAAACACATCATTCATAAAACCATTCCCCCATGGGGTATGGTGGAACCAACAATGGCCTAACCGAGGACACAAAAGCTTACCTCGAAGCAATCAATCCAATCCAAGGTCCACACCCGCTCAAAGTCCACACACAACACAATCACAATCTGTTTGGACCAATAACCATATCAATATTTATACTTTACAAGCATATGACATAAAGACAACACATTCCTTTTACGTTTCATGTCTTTAGGCTTCTAACAAATCCATAAGCCCTTAATCCCTATCATTATGACTTAGATTAATTATTACAGAAGTCTCCATTGACCAATCATGGGTCCCCAAACCCAAAATATCATTCTGTATGAACAGTACTGTTACTGTCTCGAACTTTCCAGAATATTCGGATATTTATCGGGGTCATATATTCGGATATGCATATCCGGATATGATATCCGGATATCCATATTCTAATATCACATAGCCCATACCCGGACATCAATATCCGGGTATCATATCCGGATATTTCGCGAAGGAATGCAGTTTCTGCATTTCGCGAAGATATCCATACAAGATTCAACCTTTAACCCATTTTAACATTCAAGCATGTATTTTTAAGCCTCTTTAGGTCAGTGATCACGTTAGTTACTTGTTCCTCTTATTAAACATGCCAAGGCTTCATTTTTAACTAAGGAAACTCATGATCAAGGTTGATGAAGCTTACCCAAGGTTCAAAACAGAAACAAGGTGGCTCTTGGAGCTCTCAAATTAGCTCCAAAGGTTCTGACTTGAAGGTGCACGAAAATGGCACACCACAATGGTTCTTTCTCACCAAAAATGACTTTTTGGATCAACACTAACAAGACACAAGCTCTCAATCAACCCAAACAGTGAAGTCAGCTCACAACACCCACAAACAGTGGCTGAGCATCCAGAAAAAGGCTCCCTCTCACCCTCACAAGTCTAAGGCACACTCACACAATGAGATTTGGTGAAGAAACCAAGAGGAAAGGTGGCCTCTTGGCTCACAAGGTGGAGAGGAAGAGGGTGGCAAGGTGGCTGGTGGAGTTTCAGAAAAATGGAGGCACGTAGAGCTGATAGAATCAGCCTAGGATTCTGTGAAATGCACTATTTATAGGCGGCTTAAGGTTAATCACATTGTATTAGCATCAATAGCTATGCTTAGCATTTTAATCCCAAACTTAGGATTCTGACCTAGTTATTTTTCTAAGATTTGTCATATTTTTATTTTATTTTTCGCAGTACTTTTCCGGTACGCGCGTTTACAAAGCCAGTATCAGTTCTGACACCAGATCTCATTATTTTGACTTGAAACTTGTTTTACTAGTCCTACATATTATTCTAAGAATATTCTCATACTTATTATAATTTTTCGGGATACTTCATCGGTACGCATTTATACCGAGGAGCAGAACCGGTATCTACACTTTTCATCAGAATAACGACTTTCAACGTTATTAATCACTTACCATACTTATTTATGTCTCCTCATAATTATTAGGGTCAATTATGAAATTATTTCCTAATTCTCATATTTATTTAATTAATTTCCTAAATTAACGCGGGTTCTTAGATCAGGCTTGTGAGGTTAAACAAGCGCTAAAGGGTAGGCAAACCCACACTTTACTGTTTTAGTTTAATTTCACTGTTTTAGTTATTTTTACTTTGAATTAAATAAAGAAAAATACAAAAATATAGGAGAAGGTGTTGGGACCAATGGCTATCATTGAGTGTATTTTACCGGTGAAGAAAAGGGAACAAACAACAAGAGAACAATTAGTTGTTTTTATTTCTCAACGCGTTTTCTTTTTAGATTTAAATATGTTGCTGAGGATAGCAACATTTAAATCTGGGAATGGGGAACGCACGGTTCATCTAAGCACAATTGAGTAAGCTGGAGAAACTTCATGAGCATACACAGAACATCCGGCTAAAACAGGGAACTATCTCAAATCCTTTCTTCTTTGGTTTAGCTTATTTCTTTTTGAATTGAATTTTTTATATTTAGTTTGTTTTGAAAAACCCCAAGCCATTATTTTTGTGAAAATTTTAAAATTTTCTCAGTGCAAATAAATGGAAAATTGGTAGGAATTTTGATTAGTAATTTGATATAGAGCATGATGATGCACTTACATAAATTGTCATAATGAG